GGTGGCACACGCCTGTAGTCCCAACTACTTGGGAGACTGAGGCAGAGAGTTCCTCAAGCCCAGGAGTTTGAGGCTGCAGTGAGCTGTGATCACGCCATTGCATTCCAAGCCTGGATGACAGAGCAAGACCCTGTCTCAAATAAATAAATAAATAAATAAATAAATGGATATCAGTGGCCAATAAACAGTTGACTTTTGTAAATGTTCTAAAACATAAGTGAATGTTTGCTTTATTCAAATGTTCTATGTTATTATTTTTTTGCTAATTTGATTTTTCAAAATTCTGGAAGAATTTTATCATGGTGTTTTGTTTGGTTTTGTTTTTAAATAAAGGTCTTGTATTTCTGGAAGGTTTTGTTCTATGTATCTGGCTACTGTAATGCTTGGTGCCTATCATCTCATGGAGTGAACCTGTTAAAATGCCCATCTTCGTTCAGTTTAATGCTTTTTAGTGTCATATTGGGCCTGGCCTGGATTTCTGGTGTTGCTCTTTCCTTCTTTTTGTTCTCCTGCTATATATGGTTCATCCTTTTATTTTTAGCCTTTGTTACTTTTAGATGTAGATAGATTTTGTTTTCTTTTTTTTTTTTTTTTTGAGATGGAGTTTCACTCTTGTTACCCAGGCTGGAGTGCAATGGCGCAATCTCAGCTCACCACAACCTCCGCGTCCTGGGTTCAGGCAATTCTCCTGCCTCAGCCTCCTGAGTAGCTGGGATTACAGGCATGCGCCACCATGCCCAGCTGATTTTTTGTATTTTTAGTAGAGACGGGGTTTCACCATGTTGACCACGATGGTCTCGATCTCCTGACCTCGTGATCCACCCGCCTCGGCCTCCCAAAGTACTGGGATTACAGGTGTGAGCCACTGCGCCCGGCCGATTTTGTTTTCTAATACATTGATTTCACAGTCTGTTTTGGTAGGGAAATTCAGTTTATTTATATTTTTTGAAGTAACTCTGATTTTATTCTTTTTGTATTACTTCTATTATATTTATCACATTTTATACTCTTTCCTTTTTTCTTACTTTTGCAGCCTTTTAAGTTTCTCTTTATTTCCTGCTTTCCTCTTTGTTAATTGCAATCCCACGCTTTTCAGTCCTGGAAGTGTTTACCTTCAGTTCCTCACAATCCAGACTGCAGCCTATCACTTGTCTATTTGTCACCCTGCGGCTTTACCCCCAGCCCAGCTTCCCCTTGGCCCCAGAGGAGGCCTTTTTGTTTGTTTTTGTTTTGAGATGGAGTCTCACTCTGTAGTCCAGGCTGAAGTGCAATGGCACCACCTCAGCTCACTGCAACCTCCGCCTCCTGGGTTCAAGTGATTCTTCTGCCTCAGCCTCCCAAGTAGCTGGGATTACAGGCATGCACTACCACGCCCGGCTTACTTTTGTATGTTTAGTAGAGACGGAGTTTCTTGATGTTGGCCAGGCTGGTCTCAAACTCCTGACTTCAAGTGATCTGCCTACCTTGGCCTCCCAAAGTGCTGGGATTACACGTATGAGCCACAAGGTCCGGCCCCCAGAGGAGACCTTCTGAATACTTTAATCTCCCCCTTCTGACTTTGAATTTAGGAATTTCACAGCATATTTGTGCATCTGTTTTAAAAATCAAAGCTGCTTAGGATTTGGCGGGCTCTTTTGGTGTACTGTCTCCTTCAGATTACGGAAGTTCTCCTTTATTACCCTCCTGCTTTTGCTCCTTCTGCGACTTCCATTGTTCATGTTAGCTCTCCTGAAGGTGTTCTCAACTCTCTTTGCCACCCTTATTTCCATTTCTCAGTTTTACCTCTTTGTTCGGTGATATATCTTCTACTTGATATCCCACATTACTAATTTGGTCACCATGGAGAAGCATGCTTTTTTTCTGGGCCAGTGCCTGGGCTTTCACTGTTTCTGATAAAGTCTCTTCCATTTAATTGCTACTTCAGTGAGATCTGCCTTTTCCAGGGAATGGGAATCCCCTCCCTCTGTGCCTCCTCAGGTGAGGGTTCCCTTTTTATATTGTGTCTGGTTGCTCTGGGTTTTTATGTTTCCTTAATGAGTCAGGGCTGCTGAGTAGTGGCCAAGAGGGGAGTTCTGCTCTCTGGGCCGAGGTGAGAACTGGCAAACCATGAGCCCTTGCGGAGGATGGGGTGGGTGGGGAATTGTTTGCAGGTCTCTTTGACACAGGTGTTCCTTCAAGGAACCATGAAATTATGATTTTTGCTCCAGGCTTTGGGGCTGCTGCTGCCTAGTTTGGAAGATTGTTAACCAAACAAGGGCATCTTGCTAAGTGGATGCTTAAGTCTCTGCTCCTCTTATAAGGTTGTTTGTGGCCTGGGGAGGGAGTGTGTTTGCCTGCAGGAAAGACTTTTGATAATTTGCATAAGGACTCTCTTTTCTTGCCAGGACAAGTGTCCACAGGGCTGCATCTGGAGGGTTCTTTTCTCACCAAGGCACTGCTAGTGGCTACGCTAACCGGCCTCCAGGGGCTTCCTTCCCTCCTGCGCTGCTGTTCCTTGGCTCTCTGTTGGTACCAAAGAGAGCCCAGTTCCGGTCTGTCTTCTTTCCAGAATCCAGAGTAGAACCTACAGCCTCAGATGCAGCCACCCTCTCTTTTTTAATTTTTTATGTTTTATTTATTTAATTAATTAATCTAGTTATTTTTTGAGACGGAGTCTCGCTCTGTTGCCTGGGCTGGAGTGCAGTGGCACGATCTCAGCTCACTGCAACCTCCACCTCCCAGGTTCGAGCGAATCTCCTGCCTCAGCCTCCCGAGTAGCTGGGATTACAGGCATGCACCACCATTCCCAGCTAATTTCTGTATTTTTAGTAGTGCTGGGGTTTCACCATGTTGGCCAGGCTGGTCTTGAACTCCAGACCTCAGGTGATTCACCCACCTCAACCTCCCAAGGTGCTGGGGTTACAGGTATGAGCTACTGCCCCTGGCCTACTTTTACTTAATTCTTTCAAAAAAGTTGGAATGTACAGTAAAACAAAAGAGGCAAGAAATAAGTTTTAAGTCTCACCATCCAGAAGCAAATATTGATAATTTTGTTCATCTTTCTAACCTCTAAGATTCAAATATATATATATATATATACACACACACACACACACACACACACACACACACACACACACAGAGTTTTGCTTTGTCGCCCAGGCCAGAGAGCAGTGGTGCGTTCTCAGCTCACTGCAGCCTCTACCTTCTAGGTTCAAGCTATTCTTGCAAGTCGGCCTTCCGAGTAAGTGGGACCACAGGCTTCTGCCACCACACTCAGCTAATTTTTGTATTTTTAGTAGACACAGGGTTTTGCCACATTGGTCAGGCTGGTCTCAAACTCCTAGCCTCAAGTGATCCACCTACCTCGGCCTCCCAAAGTGCTGAGATTACAAGTGTGAGCCACTGTACCCAGCCAGTGTGTACATAATTTTGATTTTCTAAGTATGCCTTAAGTCATACAGTGTGCATATTTTAAAAGCTCTTAGCAGAGTTTCTGTTCGGAAAGACTAGGTCAGTGTCTGTCTTCCTAGTAACAGGACAGAGGTCAGCCTGTCTTACCACACTCTAGCCAGTGTTTACTGCTTCTGGTCACACTTTCACATGGAGGCTATTAGGAGCTATTGACAAAGTTTAAGCAGACAAATCACTTAACCAGATTTGCATTTTTGATTTCAACTTCAGGGCCTAATAGATCTATGAGTCTCGTGTGGCCCCTAGGAGGCATTCAAGATACTGGTGACACTAAGAAAAGGGACAAGTTGAGGTGGAGAGCCTGAACAAGCAGGTCTCTAACCTGCAGCTGTAGAGAAATCAATTCAGGGTTTCCTGTGGCAGGTGGAGGGAATACCTACCTGGCAGAGCATGCAGGACTCTTTGATATGCACCTTCATGTATTATCTTGTTCAGGGTTGGGATCCTTATCTCCCATTTGCAGATGAGAGAACTGAGGCAGAGAAAGGTTCAGCACCTTGCCTTTGATTGCACGGCTGGTCATTCTGGCTTCAGTGGCAGGGCTACCAGACTGTGCTCTCTCCATCACTGAGCTTCCCGGCCTCAGGCCACTTCCCTGGACCATTAGTTGGATTCTCAGAGCAGTTTCCAAGCCAGATCTTTCAGACAACTTTTGTTTGTAGGACAATTTTAAGACATCAGGTTCTTGAATGTTTTGTGTTAAGTCCCAGATTTCTCTTCCTATTTCCTACTTCTCCAAAAAGACTGAGAGCTGACATATTTGAATGCAAGCTCTTTGAGGCAGAGCCCTTGTAATCGTCTCTGTATAAAACAGTTCCCACCCCAGTGATCTGTACTTAGATGCTTCAATCAACAGCTGTCCTGTTAAATAGGGCAAGTTTTTCTTAGACCCCCATTCTGATAAAAGAAAAATCAGAGAAATTATGATTGACCCAGCTCAACACACACTGTTGCATTGTGTGTATGTGTTTTTGGTGAACCCACTTTGGAAACATCAAAAGTCACATCTGTGGAACGTTTTTACAGCACTTTAACAGTCATTTATGATAATAGGGATCTGCCCAGGCACTGGGCTAGGTGTTTCACATGTACTGTGTCATTATGTAAATTGTTTCTCACGAGAACTTGAGAAGCTAGCAGGGTAGCTACTATTTTCCTTGGGTTGGTTTGTTTTTGGTTCTTTTTTTTTTTTTTTTTTTTTTTTTTTTTTGTTTTTTTTTTTTTTTTTTTGAGACAGAGTCTTGCT